CATTATCTGGTTTTATAGTGGTGCACATGTCAGAATTTGAGAAGCCTAGACTATACACAGCCCAGTGAGACTCCATTTTAAATTGGCCTAGAGGTTGTGTGCTGCAGACTTTGTGTCAGGTTAATGCAGAACAACATAACGAGAGGCCAGTACTGACATGTGGTGGACAAACTGTACTCACCACCGCTTACTCATGCAGCTACCCAGGGGAAACACAGAGGAATCGAACCCAGGGTCAAAACACAAGAAATACTGTGGAATAATATATTTGTACTGTGATCCTAGCATGTATCACTTAAGATATCAGTGGTGCAATAAGGAACCAATTTGCTAGAATGATCATTTGAAATGGCAATATGGAAAAAAAACATCACTTGAACAGGACAAAATTTAAGTTTTCCTGAATAGTTTTGCTCCATTTCTAGTAAAGGATCACATGGCTATATTATACAAAATTGACTCTTGTGAGCTTTAAGTCATGATAGAGTGCGTTACCTCATCAAAAACATATTTGTTGTGTTTTGTTTCATTCACGCATGTTTGAGTAATCCTTTATTATTAGTCTCTCTCATCTCCAAAGCTCAAAATGCTCTGTCCCATCTTGTGATGTCATGTCAAGTTAACAGCTACCTTTTATCTTTAGTTCAGTATTGATGACACTGATGAAATGACATCACAAGATGTAATAGAGTGTCTTCTGAGAGATGAACTCAGCCGAAATGTGCAGGGTTTGCGTGCTAAGCATGTGTGAATGAAACAAAACACAACTCCAGGTATGTTTTTGATGTAAAAACTGGCAATTCCAAGCCTGGTAATGAATCTAATGAAGGTGTATGGAGTTTAAAAACACAGTGGAATACTTTGATAGAAGAATTTTAAACTCTAAGTCTTTCAGATTTTGACAGACTAATAATAAAGGTTAATTAACTGGAACATGTGAATGAAACAAAACACAACTCCAAGTATGTTTTTGATGAAGAAACAATATTATCACATCAGAAAATAGCGGACAAGATGAAGATCAGGAGGTTGATGGTTCTACTGCTGCGGTTAAACAGCAATACTAAAAAAGGAATGCATAATATTATTAAGTATGTTACATCTATGAATGGAAGTTATTGAAATGTAGAAGTTGTAAGCTGTGTGAGGTTGGCAATTACACACTGGGGACAAAAGGTACAAGAACAAGGTAAGAAGTCTGATCTTCAACATCTTGGGTTCTTTTTAAAGACAGTAATGTAGATGTATTTATCTTGTTGACATGTCTCGGCTGCTAGCTGCAAGCCATCTTCAGCTATGTCTCAAAACATGTCAACTAAGTAAATACAATGTACAAAGAAGACAAAATAAACTTTTCTGGATAAGTCACATCTTCCTGGTTTGAATTTAAGCATCAGTGTCATAAAATAGATAAAAGTGACGTCTAATAAGACCCCTGAAGGATTTGGTTTCATGGTCAAGTTAGATTCACACAGTATGTTTTAGCTGTGCCTTTATTCTGTGTCTGAAATCTCTCCATTGTGCACCAAGAAGAGCTCTTCGCTGTTCCCTCACAGCTCCCGTCTCTGCTTTCACACCTTGTCACAAAACACTATCTCCGCTTTTAACAGTGGACCAGGCGCCTTTAACCCTTTCTTCACCAATCACTCCACAGAATAACAACACAAGCCCACTGCTTCACACACACTGTCCTGCCTGTCCCTGGGTATCTGCACCGGGTCAGACGTGCCCATCACAGCTGAGGAAAAACACACTGTCAATATATACAAAAGTGCTGTGTGAAAGTCATGATTATGCAATACAAGTGTTACCTTTGTTTTGGATACAATTTGGAATAATCTCAGCTGTTTAACTAAGAATCATAAATCTAACTACCTTCAAACTGGCCATTAAACAGTCAAACACATCTAGTTTTCAGTTTTGTTTGTATATTTATTTCTGCTTAATAACTAGTTCATTTGCTGTAATCTGTACTCTAAAGGTTCTGCAAATCTCCATAATGTATGTGAAATGTCTATTAAATTAGTAAATACAGATGTGGATGTTCAGATTTAAAGCCCACCAGATGCCTTTCCTAGTACTGTCCTTCTGTTTATGTTTGAAACTGGCAAAAGACCTGTATGTCATGTTGCCAAATCTGAGCTATTTAAAGTCAGAGTACATCACTGCTGTAGTATGGCAAGCAAGAAAGAGAATTGCACCTGAAATTTGGAACCTTTCATTCAATCAGTACAAAAAAGTTAACTGGTTTAAATTTCAGACTAGAAGTAAAAGGAAAACCAACATACCTACTACTGTAAATTTGCACATAGATAATTCGGTAAGACTGTTAATAGTTAACTAAATGTCTTTTTGGCACTAATTAATAGTTAGACAATACTACACCATGATATTTCTGTTACTGTTACATCCCTAATAGTTAATAATGCTAAAAACTAATGTTTAGTTAATGATTAACTTGTGCCAAACTGATTCTTTAGTAACAATTAACAAATATTAACAAAGGGTTAGGTAATTACCAGTTTGCTATTTATTATGGCACCTTAATATAAAGTGTTATCGATAGATCTTGAAATGAGTAATTTAACTAAAATGAAAGTTGTTGGGGGAGGGTTTTGAGCGGCATTATCGTACAATACATAAACCAACAAACCACCGGCTATTTAGAAACCACCAACCAGAGCAGTGAATTGATTAATCCGCAAAGCCCAGACCTGTTTATGTCTGGTATTCACAGGCTGGTGTTGTGCTGACATGTAAATAAACAAACACAAATAAACATTAAGGCAACCATTAAACTCATCGTCACTGAAACAGTCCACACTTTGGGACCAGTAAAGATCTGAGAACTCTGCTAATGAATTGCAAGGGCTCCTTTATGTCCCCTTCGTTGCTATTCAATTAGATTAGTCCCTTGACAGAATCATCTCCACACTGCGGCCTCGTGTCCCGCTCTCTCCGTCTCCCGGGGGCACCTTGTCCACTGACAGTCACTACCTTCAGCACCACGGACAGCGCACAGCACGCACGCATCCACGCACACATACGAGGCCTCCAGCTCACGTGCAATGGCCCACTACGTCACAGCAACATACAAATGCAGTAACCTATAGGTGCAGAGTATGATCACTGGAGATAAACATGGAATCTACCCACAACAGAAATGACCAAACGCACACATTGCACATCCTCTTGTAAGCCAAGGATATATTACATCTCAACAGCAGATTTGATTAATGATTAAAGCAACCACAAACACCTTATCCCGTGGAGGAGAAAATCAAGACGCTCCTCCTCTGTTGCTGCTGGTATGTCAGGAAGAGAGAGGAGCAGAGATGAGAAAACACAATGACGCTAGAGATGGCTCCTCGCTGTGCTTTGTAACGAGTGAATTACGTAACGTCAGAGAAGACTGCTCTCATTTACATTCGTGACCATTTCACCAACCACCGACGCTTGGATGGAGCAGAGGAGACTCCAAGCATCGTTGTAAACACATATAAACACACTTCAATGAACCACTGGAAGACATCCGTTTAGGTTACGTTCTTCACCAACATGGCAAAAACAATCTATGGCGCTATCTCCACTCATATGTTACTGCTGTTTATTCATCAATGTTTGATAAGGATACGCTCTAGTACCATGCAATCGGTCACGCAGGTCTCATAGTAGTTGTTGAGCCATAATCTTGATTCCTATTTTCAAATTTAAGTGCACGCTAAACCTAGATTTTGTGCGTAAAACCCGCAATATGGATACATAATGATGCAAGACGATGCTCTATCAGATTGGACGCGATATCAAAATGACGCATGGATTATGAGCTGTTGCAAAGCTTTGTGAATTAATAGTAAATGCATAGTGAATAGATGGATATGTGCTATAGAAACGAAGCTGATGACAGATTTACAGTGCTGCGTCGTCTGCTCGAAGGATGCTCGTCTCTCCTCTCGCCAGTGCACGAACGTATCGAAGCGACGACTTACCAGAAACGATGCTGTTGCCGCTGCTGGTGCCCGCGAGGTCTGTCTATACAAACGCCAGCCCTCCAAATAATTCTCCCTTGCAGTGACAGAAGGTGACCCTACTCGCTGCAAAACTCTGCATCCACACTAGCGGATCACGATGCACGCAGCAGCAAGGGGGAGCTCCACGCACGTAGGGGGATGGCCCATGCACGGTCCATTCAGTGAACGACAGGAAGAAGAGAAGGATACAGAGGAGGAGAGGGAGAGATAATAATGATGCCACACACGTAACCCTACTTCTTTTAATCCCTCTTCGAAGAATTGACACTTTATCGTTGGGGAGGTCGAAAACAGCTGCTGGGTATTCTTAATTTTGCGAAAGTGAAAGCTAAAATCCCACTAATAAAAGCAAAGCAATGCAAAACAACACATTTCTAGAGCATTACCCTTGCAAACGAGATGATAATCGTTATTTAATGGATAACCCTAAAATAGTCAGGTATTCAGTCCCCTCACACGATCTATTCTATAGATCGAAATACAGATATTAATTAATTAAATATTAGAAATTTTGGTCATGGATTCCAAACATGGATGTGTGTGATTGGTGTGATTAAATATGTCGACATATTTGACCAGTAGGTGAAGCAAGGTGAATATAACTGGCCTAGAAAGAGCAAAACAGAGTCATTCATAGGCCTATATGAAAACCCAAGACCAAAATGTAGGCCTATAAAATGGTCATCCATGATAAACATAATGGATCCTCTGACTCAAAGTGATAGTGACATCTAGTGGCAAAATATGGAAAGAGACAAAAACAATCCCTTGAAACATGCACCTTCTTCATCTTATAACGATCAATCATGTCATCAGTGTAGTCAGTTGGATTGGACTTTGATAACTCATAGGCCAATTCTAAGTGAATTAAGAAAGAAATAAGATAAAAAGGAGTAAACAACCTCAAATATAAGGCTGAAGACCTAATGGCCCAAACAATATTCCCTTAAGACTGCCAATAACTAGCCTACTTAAAATGTAAAGTGCAACAGTAACAGGTGAGAGGCATAAATTCACTGTGACATGTCGGAGGAAGTGTCTTTGAAGAGAGCGGTACGAACTTCCGGAAACATTTCAGAAGAGGAAGAGGCACTTGCACGTTTGCACCGTGAGTCGCTCTTTTAAACATAACATGCTATTTCTCTCTGCAATGCAATGCTGTATTTAATCATAACGCCATAATAACGTAGCTCCGAAATGAATAGGCTATATGCGTATTAAATTGCTTTATTTAGCGGAAGTCAAATATGGGTCCTGCTAACGGTATTTATACTGTGGCTATAGGCTACTTCTACAGGCTGTCACGTCAGGTCATATATTGGTTAACATTTGGCTTATGTGCAAGGTTTCTCTGATTTGATCCCCACATTTATTGATCAGTTCAATATGAATCAAGGAGAGATGTCTGTACACTGACTAAATGAGCTGGTTATCTAACAGAGATCACAAGACCTGACTGGAATAGCCTAAAATGGCGCATACAAGCCTATTTTAAGTTTAAAAAATTAAAATCATAATTAAATATTGTACAATGCGCCATCATGATGCAGTAAAAGAAGTGCTTATTCACTGTAGCCTAAGTAAGCTGTCAAGTCATGTTTTTTTCTTGAACCTGTATCATTGCCCTAAAATGTTTGTCATTCTATATTCATATATCACTTTCTTGCTCTTTCTTAACGGATGTCATTTGTGTAATACAGTTGTTGTTCAGATTTCTCGCCGATTACTGAGGACAGAGATACCATGTGGGAGTCACATGAGCGTGGATGAGCCGTGAGCTAGGGGCCGCAGAGGGGAGAGTTCCTGCACTGTGACTGCACTAGGAGGGAGGGGGCAGGCCTACATGAGAGGGCCCCTCCAGCCCTCCTGTGTCCTCAACATAAGCAATGAACAGCACAACTGTGCCTCCGGTCATCATCAGCGGGGATGTGGCAGTAACCTATGTCCTGGTGCCATTTTTCCTCATCACCATTATTGGGATAGCTGCAGCTGTGGTAAGTACCTTGATGTCATTGGAGGTGGCTTTCACAGCGTAGAATGTGATGGTGTCATACTCCTCGATGAGGCAAGAGCCAATTGTCCCTGTTGAGCTGGGTGATGATCACAGTTCTTTTCCCCAATAACAATTGACAATTTGATTTGATTTTGTTTTATAAAATTAGTTTTCAAAATGTAAAAAAATTATTTAGTGTATATAATCACAGATTTTTTACATTTTTAAATGTCTCCCTCCATTGAAAATCAGAACCTCTTCATATTGCCAAGAATAATTGTCTGCTCCTCATTCTGATTAAATATTATAGACCTATGTTTTCTGAAATCCACAATCCAAGATTGTCATCACAACATTGGAAAGAGATCACGGAGGGCAGTTTAGGTAGAATTAGCTTTTTCACTTTTTCTGATAAGTTGGCCTGGTTAACAGTCAAGGGCATCCATCATTACTGGATCTATCCACATGAAAGAAATGCAATATTTGTTAACATTGGTGATTAGTAGTGGCCTTATTCAATCACAACTCTTGAATTGTGTCATTTGAAAGGACTCCATATCCATATATATCCATATCCAGACTAAATCCCCCAACAAAAAGTGATTATAGGTAAAATTTTTGTAGATTTTCTCTTTTGTGATTTCACAATCATACTGGCCTCTTCTTGTCCATCTGAGATTATGGCAAACAACCTATAGTCAAACATCATGCATGACAAATGATAAAAACTATTATAATTTAGTAATCTTCTCTTTTTTATTATTACAGGCCATGTATATCCGAAAGAAGAGAAGGTAAGGCTTTTGTTGTGCTCATAAAAAGCATTTCACTTGATAGACATGTTGCAGTGGTTTAACTTGCACTGTTTATCTGTATGGGTCAGACTTGACAGATTACGTCATCAGCTGTTACCTGTGTATTCCTACGACCCGTCAGAGGAGCTGAATGAAGCTGAACAAGAGATGCTTTGGAAAGAAGAAGACACAAAGGTTTGCACACGCTCCACTGTGAGGCCTCATGTAACCACAAAACAGTTACTCAACATATCCTCTGGCAGTTAAACCAAGCTAATGGGTTAATGTGTACACAACATAGAGGTGATGTAATTACATAAATAATAACAGGCTCAAGACAGTGGGGAGGAAAAGGAAGTAATGCATCACTGATAATTCAATCTGTCTGGGTAGAACACACAACAGTAGACCGCAACAGAGACGTTTCAAGAGGTGGCGAAATATTTAATGCTGCAAGAGCTGAAAGTTGATATAATCTGTAAAACAAAAATACATTTTAACACATTAAAGGTCCTATATTATGCAAAATTTACTCCATGTTATAATGCTGTTACCTCCTCAAAAGCATACTCAGAATCGTGTTTTGTTTCATTCACTCATGTCTGAGTAACCCTGAATGATTTCCAAATTTCAAAATGCTCTGTTCCACCTTGAAGTGATAGTTTTCAAGTTAACAGCTAGCTTTTACTTTTAGTTTAGTCAAGATTGGCAATTCAAGGGCTGAAATCATCCAAATGATTCTAGTGAAGGTGTATAGTGCCGTGGAACACTTCCTGTATTAGAACATGACATTACAAGGTTTAACAATGTGAAGAGTGTTTTCCATTTGAAAGAAGAACTCCACAGGATTTGTGTGTCAAACATACGTGAATAAAAAGAACCACAGCTCCAGGTATATTTCTCATAGGGTAACAACATCATAACAGATCAGAAAAAAGTGTAATATGGGCCCTTGAAATATAAATAGATTATTCTCTTGATTGAATCATCAGCTCATTTTTTGAGCTATCAAAGACCTCACAATCTACTTTTCTTAATAGCACTGATAAAAAACACACATTTTTACACATTAGTTTACACAATAGGTGACTGTTGTGGTGTCTGTTTTTTTTTTACGTATTATAACAAAGACCGTGCACATTGACCAACAGTACAACTGCATAATATGCCAGAGTTAGAAGCTAGTTTCCTGTGTTTTTTTCTGTAGTCCTTTACCAGATGTACAGAAGGCACCCGAGAAAGAGGGTTCACAATAAGATAAAATAATAATTTCATAGATTGTCATAGGTTTTGTCACTTATATTTTCTGGTCATTCTTAGTAGCTTTTTAAAAATTGTATCTTCTTTTTTATTTCCAGATTGTACAAGGCTGGGCCAAGCACTATCACCAACAGCGCCCTCTCCTGACCAAAGATGTTAAGGCTTGAACTAGTTCTGTTGTAAATCTACTTGAATGCCTCTGTACAGTTTACCATTCATGTTTAAGTGCAGTGAAGCTACTGAAAAAGCCTTATGCACACAAGATATTCACCCTGCTTTCATGCTAGGGGGCCTCTGCTGTAAGAGAATGTCACCTTTTAGTTTCTGATGCCAATCCTTTGTGCCTGAAAATGTATTTATTTGATTATTTATTGAGTTTATTTTTATGCAATGGTATCAATGGCGAAACTCAAGAATGTATATATACTGATTGTTGATTTGAATTTGTCTATACCAGTGCCAGCAATTTTATTTCACGTTAATTTCTTGCAGTTGTTGAACTTTATTTCACTTTGATGAGTCAGCTCAATATATCCTTTGTTAGACATCCCAATGGTATGTGAGACCAGATGGAAATGAATTATACCCACCTAAAAGACTCATTTGTTACTAAAATGAGTGGTGACTAGTATCAAAAATATGTCCTGTTTAGAAGGCATGGCACAAACTCAAAGTTACTTCTCACTAAAGAATGCCATTGAACTGTCAAAAGCAAAACTCAGGAACTTAGTCGAAACTGTTCTGGATAGAGGAAAAGTGCACTGAAGAAATATAGAATATTAAATAATACACTGAATGTGGACTCCCTTCTAGTAGGGGGGTCTACAACCTGCTTTTCCTTGGTAGTTCCACAGCATAAGATTAAATTACTCGAACTTTCAATTATAGGTGTTATTTCGCAAAGATGCCTTTAAAATACATGCAAACCTTACTGTGACCAGGGTCACCTCTACAGCACGGATTTATAATTTGGACTGGTGGCAGTCTCAGCACAAAAGTTTAATAGTGCACCTCTTAAAATAACTGATAATTATGGTGATAAAGGCAAAACAAAACTTCAGTATCTCAAGCTACACAAAACACATTTGAAATTATTCCAAAGGCTACTAAAAGTTTAAAAGAACTGTTCTTAATGATCAGTTGTTGGATTGTTTTTGTACTTTGAAGATGCTGTTAGACCCATCACAGTAATTATATTGTGATCTATTCAATAAAAAAAATTGTTTCAATAAAAACCTTACCTGTTTTGCACTAATTAAGTTTTGACTATATAATTATATTTTAAGTTTACTGTGAAAGGCCTAGATAATTTTGCTTTGTTCAGTCTTTCTAAGGCTTAATTTTAAACATTTACAAGTGTCATAACAGAACAGGTTTTTTTTTTTTTTTGTGAAGGGCTATTCACTGAAGCAGCTGGATAAGGACTGCTCTGTTTTTGCCCCTCAAATAAAATAAAAGTAAACCAAAAGTGACAAAGAAAAATTCTCTTTATTGACCATTTCTGATACAAATTGTTGTAGGGCACCATAGAAATATAGACATTGTACATTTATATACGTGTACATTAAAAAATGATCCCATCTAATGCATCTAATGGTTGATATTTGATAATTAATTGCAAATTCATTGGAGGATGTCAAAGTAAGAGAAACTAATTGAATATACAATCAATGTGATATGGAAGTGCCAACACACAGTGGCCAGCTGATCAGTGAACGACCAAATCAATGAAAAGCACATTTGTCCATGAAAAATCGGAAAACATTTCAGTGCACCAGATTTTTATTTTTAAAAAGGATAAAAACACACACCTACTAAACTACCACAGTCAGCGAACACAGTTGCCAAGCTGACAGGTCTCCCTGACTTGCTTCACACATTAAAAATCACCTGTCTGCAAGCTCTGTTTATGAATGAGCCAAAAAAAAAAAAAAAAAAAAAGTTGCGTACAGTCAGGTAAAAACAAAGAAAAAAAAACAAAACTCACAACTATGCAAAGATGACGCTTCCAACGCACGCCACAGGTTACATTAAAAACAGAAAACCAGTTAATGCAATATTAGGTAAAGTAAGCTGTTGAGTGAGGTATGAAGATTCTAGGCTGAGTTTGCCTGTTTGCAGTTTTCCGGGTTTTGTCATTGAGGTTGTAGCAGCTTAGGTGTGGAAAAAAACCCAGTTAAGTGGATTGTGGCCAAAGATTCCCTGACACTTACAGATACAAACATCCTTTACCTGTAGCTGACAACGCAAGAACAACAATGTACTAAGCAGTGACAGAAGGACCAAGCTTGGTGAAGCAGAGAGCTAAAATGGAATGAAATAAGCCGTTATAGAGATAGTCGTGCCACCAATATCCTCACAAACAGCCTCCTTGTTTAAGCAGTTGCAATAAACTTTTGAATGAGCGCTTGGAAATTGACAAACAGCATTTGAAAAGCTCCCTGAAGAAACGATACTGATGCTCCCAGCCTAGAGCTCTGACAAGATATCCTTAATACATTTGTTAAAGATTAGTTATCATACAAAACACTCATGTTACCCAAACAAAGAACTACTACGTCTGATTGGACTACTTGATTAACAATACAATCTCTCCACTACAAGCATAGACTGAAAGTTTATGAACTATTTGCCTACAGGAATTAGGGGGTGAAGTTGATAAATTTTGCTCTACGGTGAGACAGAGGGGGTTATATTTGACAGAAAAAGACATCTCTACCATCAGTGATCTACTTTCATCCTAAACTTTTGAAGCCCATCTAGTATACAATGCAAACAGATTTGTTAAACCACTTCACACGACGCACACGTTATGGTTTAGGTAAAATTCACCTTTGTCCAGTACAAAACATGAAGAAAACTATATACGCCCTACCATCTTGGATGCAGGTACAACAAATAACAGTAAGCAGAGAAATCATGATTTGGGAAAATTAGAGTCCAGGTTCCACAGAGCAGAATATTTGTCCAGTATAAAAGACAGAAAAGGGCTGTTGACTTGAACGTTATTTCTTAGATCTATGCTTAAGCAAGGTCCATCGGTCTATCCAGTGCTGCTGCATGATATTATGTATGCGTTACACCCTCCAGTGGTAGCAGGGTTTTTGGTGAACATGGTGGTGGCACTGGTGTTGGAAAATACAGCCCAGTTCTTGTTAACAGTAAGTCAGTATGTTGAGTGAGGTAGCATGCGAAATTACTGTTCTTCCTCATCTTCCTCCTCCTCTTCCTCAGATGATTCCTTGGATGCTTTTTCTTCCACCTCCTTCAAGAAAAAAATAAAAGTTGTTTTAATCAAACTACTCCCACGGGTACACGCTTTTGAAATGGTCCAAGGGCCGTCAACATGTAGTACAATAGATGCTTGTGATTCATGTCTTAACCATGACTGCTTTAACTCCAAGAACCAACATGAGGGAAAAAAAAACAATATAAAACCCTTTGATAAACCACCATAGCATAAAAACCCCATGGGAAGAGTGAGCCATCTGTAGTCTAAAGTGATTCATAGGCCCAATGAGTCACTCAACAAGTTTGCTTTTGCCAAAACAAGTTCATTCATAAAAATATTTGAGCCTCTTCAGTAGGGTAGCTTTAGGTCATTCCTTTGTGTGACTAATGTAATCCAGACTTCTTTAAGTGTACGCCCAGACCATGCACATGACCAAATGTTACTACAAGACCACATTCGCTTTCTAGCGTAAACACAAGCCAATTGAGACTGTATGCGCAGGCATTTTAATGGAAAAATAAACCTAGAGCTAAAAAAAAAAAGAAAAAAAAAGTGAATTACTACAGGCCCTTTGAAAACGCACTGCCAGGCCGTAATGAGTAAAGTGACTAGTCAGAAAGGAAGCAAGAGTCATGCAAAAAGATTAGGGGTAAATGTAGTTTGGTCCTGTAGACAGTCATTCCAAACATAATTCAATTGGGAAAGGAATGGCATAACAAATGTGAGCGTTGAAGCAACATGCAGCTAGGCAGGGTGCTTACCTCCTTCTTGGGCCTTCCTCTGCGTTTCGCTCCTCCAGCTGCGGCGGTTGTAGCCTTCTGCGATAAGAAAATAAAATGCAATGTTAACACACAGCGATCCTTGATATACAGTATCACTAGCCCATCATGAGTGCTGCCTCTGTTTGCCTGGAGATGGCAGCAGTATCTCAGTAATAAGCCAGATGGAGCGGGGCATTGGGTTCATTGGCCATTATCTGGAAGGCCGACAGGAACTGCACACAGGGCACTCCAGTTCGCTGGCCACCTGGTTTGAGGCTCAGAGACAGCTGGTTGGACTGGGCAAAATGCTCCACAGCGAAACACAATGCAACCAAATCTATATCATCCATGCATTTGCAGTCAGTCTATCAGTCTCTCCACCAAAACAGCAGCGAAAAAGCACACAGGGAGCTGAAGGGTAGGGGAGCGGGAGAAAAATCAGTTGTTGCTATGGAGACGACAGGCAGAGAAGAACTAGGGCTGTGTGCTGGTGGGGGCGGGGTGTGTGTGGGGGGTGCTCTTAGTGTCAGCTTGGTAACAGTCTTGCGGCCTCTGCACCTGCACCGCACTGTGCATGACAAGATACAGGAAGCAGGAGGACAGGAAGTACACAAGTGAGCATCACCCAAGGCAGCAGGGTAAGGCTTTAACAACTCAAATCTGAGATGACAGTTTAGGAGTGAAACTGTCAGCCAATAAACCAAACACTAAATTTGGATGACTCCAATCATAGTGCAGTGTCCCACAGGAGTGATTTGTTGCCCTATGAGTTGAGATGCCCACCTTTATTTTGTAGGCTACTAAACGACACCATGACCTTAAGATGCAGGAGATAGTTTGTTGCAGGACTTACTTTCTTGGTGGCAGTCTTGTTTTTGCTGCCCTTTGGTCGCCCTCTTGGCCTCTTTGGAGTTGGAGAGCCGCTGGACTCCTATTTAAAAAAAATTAAAAAAGTCAATTAACACAAACAAGACCACCCATCCATTTAAATAATTGTGTATATGTATATGTGTATATGTGTATATATATATATTTGATAAAGTACCTTTGAGTGTGTTCAACAAACGATAATGTTGTAATTATGTGTAGTCACACATGGCTGGACATCAGAGTAGACCATGGTTTGGGATGAAAACAAATTGTATAATTGAGTCATACTACTCCCCTTATGATTCACATATAAAAAGTAATTAGACATAAAACTGCCACTTTGAGCAGTTATACATTGTGTCATGGCCGACTCATCTCTTATCACATTTCTACGGTTCCAAACCGCAGCTCGTAGCAACTGTGGAATTCAATACTAAAACACAACATGTTGAGTGACAGCTATATGAGCCATCCTGCGCTTTGACTCTGCTATGTCATCCATTAAATGGTGAACAGAGGTGGGCAGTGAGGAGGTTAAAACCGGTTTAAAGGTGTTGGGTTACAGGTTGCTTACAAACCAGGGAGACACAGGAAGTGTGTAGTCTACATTTACACTAATCATGAGGTGAGTAAATGGTCAGAGGGGCTTGTTGCAGCCATATGTTCAGTGTTCAGTTTACCAAAGGGGTTTAGGCACTTAATGGGATATGCATGCACCTTTACCTGCACAGTAGCTTAGGCTACTGAGACAGTGGTGATGTTAGTCACTGCATTACCTGCATGACTAAGAAAGTGACATTCCCTCTCTGAAATGCCAAGAATTACAGGTCGTGGGTGTTATACCTGGGGCTGCTTGCGGGGTCTTCCACGCCCCCTCTTCTCAGTTGCCTCCTTCTCCTTCGGTGAGACTGTCCCCTTGTCGCTCATGTTTGCTTCCTTTTCAGACCTACGAAATAAATCACACGACTCAGGCGGGTTGCAGTGGAGAAGGGCACACGCGCACTGGGCTAACCGCGTCACCCATTTGTCCACGACCAACCAAAGATGCACACACACATTTAAGTCAATTAATCCTTGCTTATTTCCCGGTCTATTTACGTCTCGAATGCGCAGAGTTGCAAAGCCTAATGGTGCCGGGCAAACAGAGGATTGACTTCAAACCGGCTTCAATGATATGCTAAGACACGGTAGGCAGTAAGAGGCCGCGCCAATCTGCATAAAGCCAGCTGAACTCGATGCTCTCTTCGCGGATCGACCATGATTCCAGGCCCGGTGTCTCGTCCCTGAGCCGTGGGCCTGTGCGTACTCCTCTATCATGGAGGCAGAATGTGCTTCGACAAACAATGGCTGCTGTGTGCCGCCAACACCGCAG